GGGTCTCCTGCTAGGGCAGAGGGTTGGACTAGATGACCTACAAGGTCCCTTCCAACTCTGTTAATCTGAAAGAAGGAAGGCCTCCAAGATCCCTTCCAACTCTATTATTCAGAGGAGGAGGAGGAGGAGGAGGTGAGGAGAATCTCCTGCTTGAGCAAAGGGTTGGACTAGAAGACCTCCAAGGGCCCTTTCCACTCTATTCTGATTAATTAGATTCCCTTTAACAACTGCAATAGTTCACTTAAAAAAAATTGGGCACGACTCATTGAATAACACGTTGCTTAGTGGTAGAGATTCAGGTTCCAGTTGTGGTACCTGTATGGGTTTCTGGCTTTTGAAAGCAGCCTTATGGGTTTGGGAACTCTGGATGAGGTTCTCTTTTTTCTCCCCTCTTAAGGGACATCCTGCCTCTTGCGTTACGTCTCCCACAGCCGATCTGGGAGGCTTCCACCTGCCAGGAGCTGGAAGCCATTGCACACCTGGGGCTAGGTGAGTAGCTATGGGGGAGGTAATCCCACCGCACCTCACCTTCGATGCTTCCCCAGTCCACACACCTCCGGACTGCTGGATCGTTGAGTTTCTGGGCTCAGAAGTCTAGAATTAGGATGCTCAGAGGTTGGGAAATCATCAAGATCATCACAAGAAGTGATAATACCACTTTAAACCGCATATACTTGGAATAATACTACGTCCAGTTTTGGTCACTGCGATATAACAAAGATGTTGAGATCTTAGAAAGAGTGCAGAGAAGAGCAACAACGATGGACCTCATCAAAGAGAGAAGCAACCTGGAATGGATGGATGGATGATTGAATGAATGGATGGATGGATGATTGAATGAATGAATTAATGATTGAATGGATGGATGGGTGGATAGATGAATGGATGGATGGATGGATGGATGATTGAATGATTGAATGAGTGAATGAAGGATGGATGGATGATTGAATGAATGTATGGATGGATGGATGATTGAATGAATGAATGATTGAATGTATGTATGGATGGATGGATAGATGGATGGTTGGATGGATGGATGAATGATTGAATGAATGGAGGATGGATGGATGAATGAATGGATGATTGAATGGACGAATGAATGAATTGATGGATGGATGGATGGATGGATGATTGAATGAGTGAATGGATGGATGGATGGATGAATGAATGAATGAATGATTGAAGGAATGATTGAAGGAATGGATGGATAGATAGATCGATGATTTGATGGATGAATGAATAATGATTGAATGAATGATTGAATGGATGGATGGATGGATGATTGATTGAATGAATGAATGAATGAATGGAGGATGGATGGATGGATGAATTCTTTATTGGCCAAATGTGATTAGACACACAAGGAATTTGTCTTGGTGCAAATGCTCTCAGTATACATAAAAGAAAAGATGCATTCGTCAAGAATCATCAGGTGCAACACTTAATGATAGTCACAGGGTACAATAAGCAATCAAATCATACTAGGAAACAATCAATAGAAATCATAAGGATACAAGCGACAAAGTTACAGTCATACAGTTACAAGTGGGAGCGGATGGGTGATCAGGAGTGATGAGAAGATTAATAGTAATAGTAGTGCAGACTTTGTAAATAGTTGGACAGTGTTGAGGGAATTAGTTGTTTAGCAGAGAAAAAACTCCCCTTGTGTCTAGTTGTTCTGGTGTGCAGGGCTCTTTAGCGTCATTTTGAGGGAAGGAGTTGAAACAGTTTCTGTCCGGGATGTGAGGAGTCTGTAGATATTTTCACAGCCCTCTTTTTGACTCGTGCAGGATACAGGTCCTCCATGGAAGGCAGGTTGGTAGCCATTGTTTTTTTCTGAAGGAGAAACTTCCTAACAGTGAGGACAATTAACCAGTGGAACAGCTTGCCACCGGAGGTTTTGGGTGCTCCATCACTGGAGGTTTTCAAGAAGAGACTAAAGTCTTCTGTTCTTGGGTAGCGGGTTGGACTAGAAGACCTCTGAGATCCCTATGTTCTATGTTCTGTTCCTTCTCCTTCTCCTCCTGCAGAATTCTGGAATTCCTCTCTCAATGCCAAGGAGCCCACCCGACTGGCTTCACTGGGATCTACTTCCGGCACGGGTGCAGTCTCCCCCTCCCTCCCTCTACGGGATCCCCAGGGTTTGCACGGGCCCCAGGTGGGTGGGGAACAGCCCAGCCAAGCCCCCGGCCTTCCCTCCACCTCTCTTGATAGCCCATCCCCGGAAGACGTGAGCGTCCGACGCCAGTATTTCAAGAGTAACATCAAGGTGCAAGTTTCCACCGAGGCTGCCAGCCCCCTCTCCCCACCGGCAGCCCCACCGCCCCCCATTCCTGTTGGCAAGAAGAAGCAAAAGAAGACCCCTCCCCACCCGCCCCAGCCCCCTGCCCCCCATGGGAGAAGCCAATGTCCCAACGGAGAATACTGCACAACCGGGAGGAAGGACTCCTAAAAGCACGGAAATGTTTGCTCCTTCAGCTTCGTTGGGTCAGCCGCTGCGCACGATGGGCAGGAAACAGGTGTGTGTGTGGGGGGGGTGCCTGATGGAGAACGTTGTCCCTAGCACCCCCCTCCCCAATTGCTCCCCAAGATGAGGAGGAAACCAAGCCCGGAGTCCAGAATTACATTTCCAGCTCGCCTGTGTCTTTTGGGGGTTTGCAGGGACATAAGAAACGGAAGACGAATAGAGTAGAATAGAATAATAGAGTTGGAACAGACCTTGGAGGTCTTCTAGTCCAACCCCCAATTGTTGTGTCCAAGAGAGAATTACTGGTAGTACCCAACTTAACGACCACAATCGGGATTCCATTGCGGTTGTTAAGCGAGCCCGACGTTATGACCTATTTTGCCAGGATCGTGAAGTGAATCACTAAAAGCTGCATACGAAGTGATCGATCAATACTATTTTTTTTAAAGAAATGAATTGAAGCCATGTATTCCTGGAAGAATCCTAGAATCGCAGGGTTGGAAGGAGCTCTAGAGTGCATCTAGTCTAGCCCTGCCCCCTTGCTCAGGGTAGGCTGATTGACGGCCCTCTCGATTCCGTTTGAAACTGGCCTAACTTGCAGGGCTGTCTGCTTTGAGTTTTTCGCAGGGAAAACTAAGACCGTTTTTAAAACATTTTCTTAACTCATTTATATAACGGCGTCAGCTGCTTTGTGTTGGACAGAGGAGTTCAAGAGGTATAATTTTATGTTTTTAATATAAGCTTAGGTCAAATAAGAACATTTAAAGAGGCAGTATCTCTAGTTACCTGGTAGTGTTTTTTCTCTGTGTGTGCGTGCGTGTATTTTTCCTTTCTCCACTTTAAAAAAAACACAAAAAACAAATATTGGTGTTTCTGTTTGACCTCTCAATGTTTGAAGAGGTAAACTATTACGCTGTGGTTGAATGTTTTCACTACTCAAGTTTTACTGGTGTTATTTGGCCGCTGTTATTGCTTTTTATAAACCTTGGGTGCAGACAGCCTCTTCTATGAAGAGCAGGCGTTTTGAAACTTTTCAAATAAAGATCATTACTAAATGCATTCATGTCTCGGTATGTTTAATTTCCTTATTATTCCAGGCCCCAAGCGTCCTCCGGGTGGGGGGGTTGACCACAACATCCATCATCCCCACCCCAACTGGTGATGGCTGGGGGTACACCAAGTCCCAGGATCCCCAAATAAATATCCAGAGTCTTCTCTATCTAAACTTTATTTTTATTTTTATTGGCTTAGATGTGTCAAAAGTATGACAAACGAGCAGGATTTCCGACACTTAATCTTTTTTTTTTTAATACTTTATTCAATTTTCAAACAGTTTAAAAAAAACATACAAAAAATATGCAGTTATAGCAACATTGAAGACATCATTTACATTTCTTAATCGTATTCTTATACTTAATTTCCTAGTACATTGCAATTATTACACATCACTTTTCCTATTAATTCACTATTTCTTATTCCATATTTATACCACTCGTTAGGTAATATATTTTCTATTAATTCTACATTCAGTATATATAACTTCATATCCTTTACTTAATTACAGTACTTCCCCCCACTATTCTCAAATCATGCATACCAGGCATCCCAGATTAAATAGTATCTCAATTCCTCTTTACCTTTTAAGGACAGGTCAGCCTGTCCATTTCTGCACAGTCTAGCATTTTCCTTATCACTGCTCCTTCTTGTAGTATATCTCCCTCTTTCCAGTGTTATGCATATGAGGTCCTAGCAGCAGTTGTTATATGTAGGATGATATATCTATCAGTTTTACTATATTTTCCCTTTTTTTTATGCCCAGTAAAAATAGTTCTGGTTGAAATTCAATTTTTTGTTTTATTATTTTAATAGTATTTCCTCAATCTATATATATATAATTATAAAAACGAAAGACCACTCAGGCATCATCACAAAATCTCCAGAACCGTAAAGCCTACATACTTGAAATTTGGCACGTAGGTTCCTCTTGACTTCTAGGTGCTCACTAAGAAAGGATTCTTCAAAATGACCATCAGAGCTATAAGTATTTCCTATATTATTATTATTATTATTATTATTATTATGCTCTGATGCTAAGGAGTTCTACTCCCCCTCCCCACCTGAAAAGAAATCTCTTCCAAATGTAAAACATGAGGAGAGGAGTTTCAGTTTCGGAGCACCAAGCAGCTGTAGTACAGAACAGTTGAGCTAAGCCACGCCCAGGCTCCTTGCTCACACAGCAAATACTGTTTCAGTTTCCAAACAGCTCTCAACTCTCTCATACACTGACAGGATGCTAGCCAGATGAATACCAATGGATGCTGGTAGGCAGAGGCAGAATTTCCCCCCCCCCTTATTTCCTCCCCAAAAATTAAGCCTGACCACATAGTTTCATAGCGGAGCACGAGTATCCAGCTAGTATATACATATATACAGATAGTCCTGAACTTAACAGCCAGAACAGATCGCAAAATGGTGGCCAAGCGAGACGTTCATTGTGAGTTTTGTCCGGTTTTTACAATCTTTCTTGCCACGGCTGTTAAAATGAATCCCTGCAGTTGTTAACATTAGTAAGACGGTCATTAAGTGAACCCGGCTTCCCCGTTTGACTTTCCTCGGCAGAAGGGTCGCAAAAGGGCATCGCGAGAGCCCCAGACACTGACCGTTGTACGTATGAACCAGTGGCCAAGCAGCTGAATTTTGATCAGGTGACCACAGGACATTGCAACGGTCGTAAGTGTGAAACACAGTCCTAAGTCACTTTTTTCAGTGCTGTTGTAACTTTGAACAGTCACTAAATGAACTGTTGTAAGTTCGAGGACTCCCTGTATCCGGGAGGGACAGAAAGCATTCTCTTTTCTGACTTTTTCTCCTGTCTTTTGCAGGCTTGGAAGCAAATATCTTTCCATTGTTGATGATGGACTCGGTTTGAATTCCTTTTTGGAGGGGGGAAAAAAACAAGTTTTTTTTAAAAAAAGATTATCTTCCCTTCTAAGTAAATCCAGGAATTTTTGCTTAATTCCTTGGAAAATCACTGGGACTAACTTCTGCCTAGTTCCCCCATTGACCT